AAACATGTATTTTAGGCTCGGTCGGTCTTCTGTTCTGCAAGCAATGCTCGCATCAGTCAAATATCTATTAACAACATCGAAAGAAACAAGAACAAAGACAATGACCTGTACCGTGAGACCATCGCCAATAACTAATGAAATGCCTTCATCCTAGTTGGATAACGAAACGTGTATCATGGCACAAAACATACATGAAACGATAATTCAAACGCTAAAAAGAAATTGAATTTTTGATGTAGACAAGTTACGAGCTCAACTAAACCAATCGAAGAACTAATACATCGAACCTCTTAAGCTTGCATTATTCATCTTTAGAGTGGGGAAACCGTATCTCATATCACTTTATGCTGGGTCTAGTTTTAATATGCTCATGATTTCATTGTATTTGTGCCACATCTCTAGATCCATGAATAATCCTCATCCAGAGATTAACGAAAAGAACAAAACAAGTAGTTGAACGAGGAATTCATTTTCTTTATCCGTACAACCGCACTTATATGATTCTGACAACTCATCACTTTTCTTGTTTATAAATGAGACTGTACAACAACAGAGAATGAATTCACCGAAGAGAGCCTCTTCGCTGAACTGCATGTCTTCTTCTTTTCATTGACATCGCTAAATATCATTTTCAAGGTAACAAGTTTCCCATAAATGTTTGACAATGTTGTTCTGATGACTTAAAGCTTATCTCACTAAAATCCATAGCTGCTAAGGCCTTCATAATTCTCACTGTATTACTGGTTTCTCAACAGTTAATTTGTTGAATGTTATATAATTTTGACATTCTACTCGTTTTAATCAATATAGATCTTTATATACTTTTCTGTTAGAAAGTCCTCCGTTTGATTACATTTATATAAAGCATAGTGTTTTTGGGTGCGGCGGTGGCATAGTTGTTAGGATGCTCACCGACCATGCACATGGTCCGGGGTTCAATCCCCGGCCGACGCACTCCTTTACCTCGCTTAGCCAGAAATAAAGCTAGTAAAGGGGAAAGGTTGGGCATGGGGCTAGCAACCTCATCCTGTAAAAATAAACACTGCTAAAGAAACTTCAAGCCTCTAGCTTGAAGCCCTATGTTCCACTGGGAACGTGAAGGAATAAAAAAATTGTGCTTTTGGAATAAATGAATGCCTGAATTCCCGTCTAACTGTTTTTCACACGTTATTCCTTTAATTCTTCTAAACACTTAAGAAAAAAATGTATCACATGGGACCGCTAGTTAGTCAATTCAAAACACTAGTTCACTCAGTGGCAAATTCCATCGGGCTTCTACTACACGTACTAGGTAACGTCTGGGAATCAGAGACGGTTCCATCAGATTGGGGTAAGTCACTTATTATACCAATATTCAAGAAGATAATAAGTCCTCATGTGATAATCATAGAGGGATGAGCCTGACGAACATAGTTCCTAAAATCCTAGGCTCAGTAATCATGCACAGACTAAGCCGAACTCGGAAGGAACAAACGAGGGAAAATCAAGCAGGCTTTAGGCCAGGTAGAGGGCGCATAGATCATATCTTCACTCTCCGACAGATCCTAGAACATAGACACACTTTCAGGCGTCAACAATTGCCATATTTCTTGACTTGAAGGCGGCCTTCGACTCTGTGGATCGAAATGTACTATGGCAATGTTTGACTGTGAAGGGAGTGCCAAGAAAGTACATTGCACTAATCAAGGCACTCTACTCAAACTCACGTAGTCGTGTAAGGGCTTATGGGGAATTGTCATCTGAATTGATAACAACCAGTGGTGTCCGTCAGGGATGTCCACTTTCCCCATTTCTGTTTAACTTCATCATAGATTTGCCAATGCAAGTATCCTTAACCAAACTTAACGACTTAGGAATCGACTTGTTACCAGGGAATAATCTTATGGACTTAGAATATGCAGACGACATAGTCATGTTAGGGGAGGATGCTGACAACATGCAGTCTTCTGAACACCTTAAGCAGCAATCTTCGTATGTTTGGCATGCCATTCGTCCCTGTAAAATGTAGGATGCTGCTACAGGACTGGACTACGTCTACCCGTAGCTTAGTGATAGGGAGTGAAGTGATAGAACGTGTTGACCACTTCACCTATTTGGGAAGTTGTATCAGCACCAACGGACTGATTGGTGACGAAATCTCAGCACGGATCCAAAAAGCTCGGGCTGCTTTCGCTAACTTACACCATCTCTGGCGTAGGCGTGACATCCGGCTATCAATCAAGGGACGTGTGTACTGCTCAGCAGTTCGCTCCGTCTTTCTCTATGGCTCTGAAACATGGCCAATACGAGTTGAAGACATGAAAAGGTTGACTGTTTTTGATCATAGATGTCTACGACCTCTTTCTCACGTTAGGTGACGTTAGGCGTAGAGTGTTGGGCAAAGAGGGAAAATCAATAGAAGAGGCTATAAAGTTACATAGATTGAGATGGTTAGGTCACGTGCTGCGCATGCCTAACCATCGCCTCCCACGACAGACATTACTAGCTGATATAGGTGCAGGTTGGAAAAGAGTAAGTGGTGGCCAAACAAAAACATGGCATCAATCCATGAAATCCCTGACAGTTAAACTGAGTCAGGTAGGGAGATGCAGACTTCCGGGTTGGGGCCCTCGGGACTCTAAGAATCAATGGCTGGAGACAATAGGTGACATGGCTCAAAATAGTTGTCAATGGCTTACGCAGATGTATTCAGTCTCTGTAATCTTTCATATTCCTTTCTACTATTACTCATTCTGTTTCACTCTTATACTTGTCAAAACTCTATTGATTCTCTTCACTCATTTTGTTGTCTACCTTTGTGTGCTATTTGGAACGTGGCAACTCGAACTGCTGCACTTCGGTGCCAGGTTCTATGTTGAATCCAGCCAACACATATTATTTAACAAAAGTTTAAGTAAAGCGATCAAAAAATATAACGGAATGGCAAACGACTTAGAAACATGTTCATAGCTAGGCTGGGAAACTACTGAATGTACCAGCCTATTTCAAATTCCTGTTTTGAAAACAAACTTGCGTCTAGTCCTTTTTAGTTAGCAACATTCAATGAGTGTCGCTACTGCAACCAAGCAGTAATTCGAAATCAAAGGCAAGAGAATCTACTTAATGTGTGGTTACAATCAGCTTTCAGAGACTACTAACAATAGAGAACAATGCAAGAGCAAAGTCTAACTTAAGGGAGTCAAACGCAATAACAATTCCAATGTAGCACTATCTAAGCAACTGCCAGAATAAAAAAATTATTGAGAGTCCAATTTACCATTCGATTATTCTTATGTTGTTTGTATGCGACTTAGAAACAACCGTCAACATTTAACAATGGATATGTATAGAAATGTACCACTGGTATTCCAATTTCTGTACTGTTGTAAGGAGTATTTCGATATCAGCTTGTCAGTTCAATACATTGATATAAAACGCCATTATTTACAGCAGCGTGGAGAATCCATCTTATCGTCCATTTATTAACAACTTCTTGCAGGTTCATTATGACACATACTCTAAACTAGATACACATTTTTATGACTGGGAAATAGCATAATACCCTATCCATGAGCCTCGATATCGGATACGGTCAGGTGAAGACCAATGTTTGATATCATCTCGTTACATAAAGTTATATATATATATATATATATATATATATATATATATATATATATATATATATATATATATATATATATATATATATATATATAATTCACCAACGCACATTTTAAAATATACCTTATAGCACCATCAGCATCTATAATGACTGCTATGCAGAAGGCAGTTCAAGCTATACTTCTTGTTGCAATAGGTCGAATGAAGTGAATCAGCTACTAACATCAGTCGGATGCAACCACCATCCCTTCCTCGACTAAGCGATTTTGTAATCTACCAAAACATTACAGAAGAAGCATCAAAGACTTCAGGTGAACATAGAGAAAACATAGGTAATCGAGATTCCTGGACAAGAACAACAACAACAGACAACGATCAGCATAAATGGGAAGAACCTGAAAGAAACAACCTCTTTTACCCACCGACCTGGGAAGCATCGTTTCAACTACAGGTGGAACTGACGAGGATATCAAAGCAAGAATCGGAAAAGCAAGACAAGCTTTCATTACTCTCAAGTCTGTATGGAGGTCAACAGCACTCAGAATGAAAATGAAAATAAGATGCGGATTTTCAACTCCAATGTGAAGTTAGTGCTACTATACGGATGGATCAGATACTTGCACTGCGCGTCATAAAGAGCATCTCAAACAAACTACAGACCTTCATTAACAGTTGTCTTCGCTCAATACTCAAGATCAGGTGGCCAGAAAAGATCAGCAACAGAGATCTCTGGGGGCGAACCAACAAGGAACCAATTAAGAAACAAATAGGCAGGAAGAAATGGAGATGGATTGGTCATACACTGAGGAAACCATCAAGTGACATCACTAGACAAGCCATTGCTCGAGTGGAACCCGAAAGGGAAGCGACGAGTTGGTCGTCCAAGGGTGACTTGGAGGAGGTCATGTGAAGAGGAGATGAAAACGTGTGGGCAGACATGGAGCTAGGTGAAGACTCTAGCAGAGAACCGAACGCAATGGAGACGCACGGTTGAAGCCCTATTTTCCTCTAGGAATTAAAGGAAAGAATATAATAATAATAAAACATTACAAATTTGATGTATGCAAGAATATTTTTGCACCTTCGTTCATCTAATTAGAAATTGTTTACGAATAATAATAGCTTATTAAGGCCTAGAAGTATAGTTGCATTTTCTGTGAGGCAGGTACAAACCCCACAGCGTCCACATACTCGAAATTTCCACTTTTATAACCATGTTGATGAGAGACGTGATTATTAATTATGCCCAACAACAAAAGTGATCGTTTTGAGCTAAGTACAGTTACCACAGTACTGAATAGTACCATAGCTTCAACTGAATAGCATCTACATAAATTACAAAAGAAAATGCTACATCTAGCACTGTTGATTTGCTGGACTCTATTAGTAGTATATATTGTATAATTAAAAACAATAAGGATTTTAAGAAATTTATTTCAGAAATATTTACACACCACAGATAAGTCTTTTGTAAGTAAAGCAAACTAAAAGAAAATTATGTACATAATCGTCACACATGGAAAAGGATTAAATTCAAGATGAACCATACCCTACCCAACAGTGCCCATATAGTTGACAGATTTCGACGGATCAGATGGAAAGAACTTCTGACACTGTGTCATTAGTCTTTTTATAGCCTGGATATATTTACGTTGTGTTTCATCATTTAAAACATGTGCCACGTTCTTGGCATAGATTTTTTCTTGTGCAGTTCTTGAATGGATACCGTGGTTAGTTACACCCAATGGCCAAGGAGCATTGCCGATAGCTAGTTCTAAATACGCATCATTAGCCTTTAAAAGAAAATTAATTTGAATTATGAAATAAACGGTAGTTGAAAAAGGAAAATTATTGATTTAAGTAGTAAGAGACACGAGTACGAAATATCATCGACAAAATATACTTATCAACAAATTATGGAAGCACTAAAATGCAGTGAGCGTGCGTGTGCACAACTAAGCTTCAAATAAAAAAAATAAATACCATGTAGCTCAGTGAAGCAACGCAGTTTTACACACTTGCGTATAAATCAAAAAGTGTAGGGAATACTACTAAGTTCCCTTAGAAGAAATAGGAAAAAACTACTTAGACTTGAAGCACATTCAGTAAAGTTGAATTCATTGCGCACCACTTTCATGGGTCTACTCCTAATGTACATATATTTCGAAATAAATCGATTTGGAGTCTGGAAAATAGGCTCAAAAAGCAATATTATCATTATTCTTCTTCTTTTGAATACCCTGAGGAACATAGGGCTTCAACAGCACACCATTTTATCCTGTTATCTGCAGTCCATTTTAGCTGATTCCACGATCGCCAGTAATCTGTCATATCCTCCACACAACCTCCAGGCGCACAAAACGTTGTTTCCTAGGATCCGGGGAGCGTGATTTCACTCAAACGACTCTTTGACGAACGTTTAATCCATTCCAATCTCCTCCCTTCACTCCGTTTGGCCATAGGTTTTCGGTTGGCTAGCCACCAGAGTTCCTCGTTGCTTATTCTTCCTGGCCATTCGATGTTCAGTATCGAGCGAAGGCAGTTGTTGATGAGAGTCTGTAGACTGTTGGAAATGCTGCATGTGACGCTCTAAGCCTCTGAATTGCATAGAAGCACTGATTTCACACTAGTGTTGAGAATCCAAATCTTGTTCTTTATACTGATTGCAGCAGATCTTCACATTGATTTCAGGGAAATCAATGTCTGTTTTGCCCTCCAGGTCTGATTCTGGCTTTAATATCCTCATCCCTGCCACATGTAGTTGAAACTATGCTGTCTAAATAAGTGAAATAAGTGACCTCGTTCAAATTTCTTCCGTTGGTAGTGACTGGTGCTTGTTGTTGTTGTTGTTATTAGTAGTGGTGTTGGTGGTTGGTTGTCTTCATCACCTCTGTCTTCTCTATGTTCACTTGAAGTCCTGTCTTCGCTGTTAGCCCCTGCTGCCAAATTGTTGTTTTTCGCCTGTAGATCTTAGAGTTTGTGTGACATTCGACATAAATCGTCTGAGAAGTTTAGATCTTCTAGAGTCTTCTTGTCGGTCCAGCGTATTCCTCTGTGTGCCCCCCCCCACAGTCTGCCGCACAATCCAGTCGACCAATACCAGGAATATCATCAGGCTTCGCTATGTTTTGTGTTGTGGATCCCTTCACCTGTGACATTGTCATATAGTTATTGATGAGATTGATAAAGGTTTGGGGCACTCCGTAGTGTTGAAGCAGTTTCCAGATTACTTCGTGGTCAACGCTGTTGAAGGTGTTTTCAAAGTTCATGAAGTTGAGATGGAGAGTTGATTGCTATTCTATGCTTTGTCCAATGATGATGTGTAGATTTGTGACTTGGTCCTCATATGGCTTACTCTTCCTGAATCCATCTCGTTTGTATCCAGAATATGTTTCAGTCCTTGCAGGGTGGATAGGGCTTACATGCTCCCCACGGTCTACTGCACAATCCAGCCAACTACAATCAGAAGCATCATCCGTGAATGCAGGTGACCATGTCTTACTTGCTCTTGTCTTCACATCAGTAGCATCTCTGAGTTTTTCATCTTGAATTATTCGACATGCGGCATCATCACTTTCAATGGGTAAGGGGTTCCCCTTTCTTTCCAAACTTTCTATAATAGTCCCCACTGATATTTCTAGGTCCGTTTAAAGTGCTTCTAGGGGAATTCTATCTAGTCCTGCTGACATTCCGGGTGGCTTTGAGTAACTTTATAGCATTCAAGTCTGCTTTTGTGAAATTGTTCACTGGAAGTTCTGCGCCTGCTATCAGTGCTGTTCCTGGACAAGTTGCAAGTGGTGTTCAGTTCAGAGTTCACTTTGTTTCTTCTCTTTGGAAATTAGGTTCGCCTGAATATCGTTTATTGGTTTCATCTGAGTTGATCTTTTCTGGGATAAAGACCTGGTTATCTGATTTAATGTTCTGAGGCCTGTTTCACCTTAAATCTATTGTGCTTCAGTTTCTAAAGTGTCGTAGAATTGCTTTGTGTCTTTTCTATCGCTCTTCACTTCTTCATTCAGTGAGTTACACATTTAACTCAGCTTCTCCTTTCGTTGTCCATTTTGCACCACACTAGCTTCTTCAGCACCATCCGTTCCTTCTCTAATGGCTTTCAGGTATTCAAATGAAGTCATTCTTTGTCTCGCCTTTTGTTTCTTCCTAAGACGACCGTACATGTTTCCTTCAACACTACTTTAGGAGTCCCAGTGTTTCTTTATACATGACTCTTCAGTGATACTACGTAGTACTTCCAACTTCACCTTTGTGCAAGCACTGAAAATATCCTCTAGAGTTCCAATGTTAAGTTTCTCGGTTTGAACTTGAATTGTGGTCTATCACCCATCCTTCGGTCTTTTTTCCGGGTTTGAAACCGGCTACAAAAATTCTACCAATTGAAGTCAGTCTAAATCAGTTACTCGTACGGTTTTGTGCATTAGGCTACGAGGTACATTTAACCATTTTACTTGTTGAGATACTGCCGGGTTACCCATTTCCAGATAGATTGAATGGATTAGGAGCCTATAACACACTAGTTGAAAGTTCGGCGATAAGTTACGCGTCCTTACCAATTGTGATGTAATCTAAAAGGTTAATTTTCTAAAAGCAAAACAGTACAATGTTGAGAGTAGACCAATGCACGAGTTGAATGTAGTTCCACAAATCTGAAGAAAATTTGGTGTACCAATTACTAATATAGCCTACTACTGAAATAGTAACAATGACCAGTGAAAGCAAGTAGGAAAATAAAGAGCTCATTTCCTCGTAAACCGAATACACCTCTGAACTTTATTCAGAAAGAAAGTCCACTCTGTACATTTTCAGCTTTAGATAATACTAACTAGAAATGGCAGGAACCAACTGTGTATATTATCTTTGAATCTTTAAATTATATATGCTTTAAACAGCATGATTACGAGAAAAACTGTGAGCGGAACATTTTGGACCACAAACGAGAGATAATTCATCGAACGTCAAGTAAGTGACAGATAGTTTAGTTGCCTAGTTTAAGAAATATTGGTGTGGACATAATATTCAACATGACGAAATCTCCTCCAGTTGCAAATGTTTAAACAGTAACTAGGTCAGTGCAACAGATATATTATTAAAAAAACACGTTGGCAGTGAAACTAACCTTTAGATAATTTCGATCCATCATCAAAACCATAATTTTAACCAAGGAGTTCAGAATATCCCCTTTACAGCGCTGGAAGGAGAATGAAGTTTAGTGAGGAGCAAGTACCAAAACTTACATTGTTTTGAAGTGCACGAAGAAGTGGTTTGATATATTCTACAGTCTGTGTGTAAGTTGCACTAGCCATTTTTCCGGAATAAGAAAGCTTTTCCTCTTTGGTTCTAGTGTTTAGAGCATGACCCCATTTGGACAGAAGAAACTAATCAAGTGAAAAAAGTAAAAGCGTGAATTGTGAAAAAAATATACGTAGATACAATTGAAGTAAATGGGTGAAAAACAATATGTCACAATCTACCGTCGGGGAATCCAGGTGACAGTAGAGGCACACGTATTTTGTAAACACAATAATACACTATAAATAAGAACTGGTCAAACTCGAAGAATCTTCCCATTAAATAAACCACGGCTATTTAGTACTTGTTGTTGATGAAATTAAGGGATAATTAAATGCCAGAATGTAAACAGGAGTAGGACAATAATCTGAGTGGAATTTCAGAGTTACTACAGGTAATTTGTGAGTTATATTCAGTGAATGATAGGAAAACTGAAAGATTTCAAAGTGTACGTATTTTACTCTTACGAGTATCCCTTACTCAGTTAGAAGGAAAATAATACCTAAAACAGAAAAAAAATGAATCTTTTCCCCAATAAACTCATTTTAAGGTGTATATTCATGTATAAATGAGATGTTTAAAACACTGAGAAAGAAGTAAAACAAATGTGTGGCAATTATGATAACAAAAGTTGGGTAGAGTGTGTTGTAGCTGCACTTATATTGACCTTGACATAGTTTTTAAAATAATATGAACACACCAAAGGCGAATGAAGAGATAGGAGTATCTAAATAGAGTTACTCTTTATTCTGAGAAACAAGCAATCAATCTGTACCAGTGGAATACGGTACTATTCAACTACCTTTTATCGTGAAAATCCCAGTCCACATGGTCTGCTGGCTTATTTAATTCAAAGATTTCAGTGGTGAAAACCGCCTTTTCATGCCAAACAATTATCAATGACAAACCACTAAGCACTTTTCTGTATAACTTCAGTCTAATACATTGGAATTTAATCAGTTTAGTTCTAAATATGTCATCTGGAAACTATGAAGAAATGTGTTCGAAAACTTACTGCATTTGTAATAAATGCATTTTTAGTTACTTCTTCTAAATAAACGGTTTAATTAAGCCTATAAATGAGGGACACACAGCACAGAACGTATTCGCCGCCGATGAATTTGTGCTACATAATTAGCGTTTGTTGCTTTCCCAGAAAAATATAGACAACTTGGCTCATTGGCTTAAGTATACATTCTGCTACAAATGGGCTCCAGGCTCGCGTCCCGACCCAGCTACTTTAGCTTGATCAACTGGGTAATATCACGAGCCCTCACACAGTAAATGTGTCTAATATCCTGGTGCATGAAAAGTCTATCCTGGGGATCTGAATTTTGCAGAGATACATTTAAATGATTAACCAAGAAATGTGATACAATTTATTCGCTACATTGTAAATATAAACTGTGTTAATATACTGCGTTTCAAAAGTAGAGTAAATCACCGAATAGATTTTTACATTTGTTTGCATTACTTTACACTACACTCAAGAATTCAGTTTGTTCACATTTGTTAAATGTGTGTTGAATCACTTCTTTACTTTATCACTCCCTAGGGTTCCCAGCAGAACATAGGGTTTCAACAGCGAATCTCCACTTCATGCTCTTCTCTGTAGACCTATGTACCTGATCCCACCACTATCCATCAGCTCTTTTCGTGACAAATCCCCATATTAACTAAGAACATTAATATGACATTAAGATTATAAGTTTCTAGACCGTCGATGTTACGAATTTCCTGCAATAATTTGAGCGCCGAGTCAGACTGAATAATTATAAATTATTTAAAATAATCCCAGAGTGTTTAAGAAAAAATCAAAACAAGGTTTTTTCTTAAACACGCATGGATTATCTTAAATAATTTATAATTTTACGTTAGTATTGAAAATCCGAATCTTAGTCTTTATCCTGATTGAAGATTTCCACAGTGATTTTAGAGTAATGAATGTCTGTTATGCTTTACTGGTCTGATTCTGGCTTTAACATCCTTATCCATCCAACCTTTAGTTGAAACGACGCTGCTTAAATAAGTAAAAGATGATGCTACATAGTCTCTCCAACTTTGCCCTGATAGCTGTAGCGATGATATCCCCTGTAGTTTAACTTCTGGGTGTTTAACGTGAATTGTGGTCTATCGCCAGTTTATTAGAAGGCTTTAAACCTAATCGGATGGTTACTCGTACTAGATAATCATCTGACTCCGCATCTGAACCTCTTCTCAATATTGTGTCCAGCAGGTTGTGTCTGAAATTTCTTGAGATTGAGATGAAGTCCATCTGGTTTTGGATGGCATTCAAAGCGTCTATTAGCATTTTAATGCGACCGTCTGGGATCTTTCCCATTAATGTTTGCAATTGTTCTGAGTTGCATGTAGGGGCGTGGTACTGGCTAACTGTAACTTTCCAAGCTTTTGAATTAAATATTTCTGGCATTATCCTGGAAGATATCGGTTGCAACTACATAAGTGCCCACGATGACGTCAGTGACATTACGATAACATCTCCCTCAGTGTGCTCTTGGTTGCCACTTAAGTGACCGGACTACATTATTAACCTTCCAATTAACAATTTGGAGAGTCCACATCCATTCAATGTGCCCTCTCAAATTATCAGCAATTATATGCTATATCCTCTCATCTCTTCTTCAGTTTAAGCAGCCTTCCTGGCTAGCTTCAAATGGCAATCGGACATACCATGTCTTCATGCTTCTTTTTGCTTTCATCGAAAGAAGAATGCTTCCACTTGCCCTTATCATTTCATCTCTCCGATATTTTTCTGGGTACTGAAGATTCTGTAAAGCCTGGGTTGACTTTCTGGCGTAGGGTTGCTAGCCCCAATGCCCATCCTTCGCTCTTTTTTTCGAAGCTTAGGACAGGTTAGTATACTAGGTGAAGTTAGAGCACCTGCATTCCATGTATGTTCAGTAAAAAAGTGCAGTGAACAACTCTAATTTCATGAAGAATTGGTGAACGCAATAAAGATAACTTATCATTTCTAATACCGTGACGGAATAAATGTATATTTATCTGACCGAATGCAAAATCTTGGAAATATTGATAGCTTTACCTTCAAATAACGGAGGACATGGTCGATTACTTGTTCATGAAAAGCTTCGTCAAAATCATTGGTACACACATTATTTGGTGAAAGTTTGCTGATAGCGACCACTGCAGTTGTTGCGTCATCAGTAGCCGTGCCTTCTTTTAGTGTGACGTAGCGGGCCAAATCAACTTTCATCTTTTCTAGTTCCTCTTCTGTCAGAGTATTCTTTTTTGTCTCAACGTCCAAAGCAGAAGAAACTGACGAACTTTCGGTGGATTGAGATTCTGAATCCGGTCCTTTACGACCAGATTTGTAAAACTCTTCATTTTCTGCATCATCTATCTAACAGCAATGACAAAATTAATTGACAACCAACCTTGTCTAACGCCGCGATAAGATCATTCCGTAATCCCTTTGACTCCGGTTCCAGAAGTTGAACTCTTTTTAATCGTTGAAAAGTATCATAGTCACTCTCACCAAATAATCGTATCGGTTGATTACGTTCCCTTAGAAGGCGAATAACCTAGAAACTAAGTTTAAGGTGATAAACGCACTTACTTCTTTGCGCGGCATAAGTTTTCCTTTCTCCCTCTCCTCTCGGTTTCTTTCTTCGAACTTTTTCAGCAAAAGATCCTCCTCTTCTGTCTATAACATCTATTATCTATTCAGGAAAACATTAGTACCTTTGTTTTATAATCATAATCTTCATAGTTGTTTGCTTGTTCCTTATTACGCTTGGATTTACTTAAATACTCTTCTTCCTCTTTTTGTTTCAATAATGATCGTTTGAAGAACTTGTTGTTACCCTAAAATCCATGATCATAAGAACAAATCAAAGTTTTTAACATACCACAAGTCCACTACTCGCGAGTTTTTCGCGTTGCCTTGCAATTTCTGCCTTCACAAGATCCATTCAAGGCAGCTGTAAGGTAAACAATTAAAAGAAATCGAATTAGAAATAAGTGAAAAATAATTACCTATAATGGAAAACGAACTTGAGGTATCTCAATAAGCAGACACGTCATTTGTAACCACTAAGATACTTCCCTTTGGCACTTACAATACCGTAAATGATTCCAAACTACCATGATATGAGTATAAAATACTAAAATATTGAAAACGACCAAAAAAGACTAAACAGACATTGAAAAGTGATTACAGAGTTGAGAAAGGAAAGCATAGGACTTATTTAGGAAGATATATATCTATTAAAACGGCCGAAAGATAGTATTAAAAGTCAATAATATCCATTTTCAACTTAATAATATCGCATCACTACTTTCTGAACCAGATGAAGTACTGTAACCAAACTGAACAAACTTCGGTCATTACATCCCATTTGAAAAAAAGCAAAAACAACGGTTTGTGCGGGATATTCTGCAATGAATTATCACTTAATAATCCAGCGATTTGGAAGATTGGGTTTTGATAGAGAAAAACTTACCGTCATAATACCTCAACTACTGACCAGCAGCTCAAGCAGTCAACGTTTACTCTGCAGGTAGGACTATTCAATTTCACCTAAGTTGTCTAAAGTTTGTCTTGTTTTCCTAAGAAGCGGTTTCATATTCAATAATCACAAACATATATTCATACACTTCCATTTAAGGTGACACAACAGACAGTACAAAAGCTATAGTGAGCAAAGTACTAAAAATGACAGATCCAATATAGATGATATCCAATTGAAGCTTTAATCAATAGATAGACAGTGCAAACACAATTTAAGTAATCAGAGTGAGCTAAGGAATTATGGCCGGAAACATCAGCAATCAATAGTGATAGAAGCAACATAGTGAGAAAGTATTAGAGTAGGCAACGAGATGCAGATATGCAAGTCAGTTTTAGCATATCAACATTTTGTGTGTAGGACTGATCATTCAGAGATCCTAATGTTTTCCCCCCAAGTAAGTTGCAACATGCCAATTTGGAGAAGAAACTTAGCTGCTTTATCTACCTTTCATCACCATGAAGTCGTTAGATGGCTCGTCACACTCGCCACATTCTACTCACACAACTATGCCTGACTAACTGCTTTGCACAGATGTGCAGCAGTTCGAGTTCTCACTCTCCATGTACCACACAAAGCACGAGAAGACGGTAAAGTGAGGTTCAAAAGAGAGATAATGAACAGAAAAGTGAAGGAAGAAGAATAATAGTATGGGAAAATAGTTTTATTGGATATGATAAATCACAAAGAGTGAATGCATCTGAGCCATCTGAACGATTTTGAGCCATATCACAACTATGCCACTTCACAAATATAATATCTCATTGAAATATCTCAATAAATGCTGCATTCGCTGACACCTCTATCTTGTTATACGTTACTTAATGCGTATCCAACTGATTCTCCCTACTTCCAATCAAACTTGCAGAATCCTCAACATTACCGATGCTATAACACAGAATCCTTCAGCTTCTTGCTGCCCACACTTTCCATAAACTGTTTATTTAATGTTGTATGAGAACTCACAGGAATTCTAGTCACCCTCCGTATCTTCCATTATTTACTTAAGCAACTGAATACATTTTATCAAAGTTTTACGGGCAACCTTCAATACTTTATTCTGATACAGCACTTTACGATTGACATTCGGTAGCACTTCAGCGTTAACAATGCTGCAACCCATACCTAACATTTATCATAGGTGGAATACAGTAATTAGCTTCTCAGAGATGAGTTATGCTGAACTCAGAAAATGTTCTGATCAAAAAGCTAGAAACGTAACTGATTCCCTCCAATCAACCACGAAAGTAATGTACACTAGCTAGTGTATGGTGAGTCCACGCATGTATGTGATGGAACAGTCTTCTCCTGCCAATAACGTATATCAAATTCACTTGTGTGTCACATCGTGTGAGGACTGATGATACAACGCGATAACCAAGGCTGGACTAGGTGGACTGGGGCTCGAGCCAGGGACTCATTGGCTGAAAGTGTTTAAGCCAAATTATTACCTGGACAAAATAGTGAGACACGATCGTTCGTTAGGCAATGGACATTATTAAGCGACACTACCAAGACAAGCTAGCAACCATCGGTTGAGTGTTCTGCTAGCAAATCATTTGAGGTGTTTCACCAAATTATTTTAAAACTCTGCGCTAAAACAACTAAATGCATCATAGACACCACAATTTTTATTTGCTCTTAGGACGACTAATTATTCAATCAATGTTAGTCCACAAAGCATAAAAATCTTGCTTCAGCTGTAATATAAAATTTAAGGAAGTCAGATTTCATGGGTCACTTGATACCGTTCAAGTGGCTGAATGGTCGACGAACTTGCCTCGGAACGTGAAGGTCCTGAGTTCGACTCCCAGTGGGCTCATGGATGCCCATCACTGAAGCCTCCAAAGCCTCAGGATGGTCGGGGGTGGGTGCCTTGCGCTGCGGGTTGGCCACCCCTCCGCACACCTTGAAATGCTCCCATATGACCGGGCGTCTTACATAGCCTCTCCTGAGGAAGTCCTACTCACTGCCTTCACGTGGCGGTGTTTTTCACCAAAGTGAGAGGGCGAAAGCGGATGCCCGGCGCTCTTCACCGGGTTGACTGTCCATTGGATGACAGTCTAGGGGAGATGGCTAAACCCTGATTCCAAACCTCCAACGACTGGCGTATGAAGCTCACTGGAGCTCCCCGGCAGACGTATGGACAAAGGGCTTGTTGGATGTCTGGCCCCATTCAAAAAGGCGAATGAACCGAACTCCGGTCACCGGCTGCCAATGGATAGTGGACTCCCTACTCCACTCCTACTGCCTTGTAGGTCACACTTGGTTGTGTAAAGGCTAGAGCTGCACTCTCAAACAAAAGGCCGAGCGATTCTGGGGACATCACTCGTACCAAATTCCCATGAAACTTCATGAACTCTCTTCATCAGATCGCCGCGCCTGGGCAGCGATGATTCGAGATGTTCATGAAGCCGGCTCATCCTCCCGTAGGAGATAGCCTAAGTAAAGTAAGTATCACTGAAGCATCCCAAAGTAGGATGAAACAGCAGTCCAGTACACTCTGGTTTTTAATGGTTCTCTAAATGATATCAATCTATGATCAATCATGAAATCTACACATATATACTACTTTTCATTTTCTGTTTGAATACATGACTAAAAAGATAAGTTGACCTACGAAAATATTAAGTACTTCCTCCTCAAAATATGGCAAGCCTGTACTTTGAAACTAAATTTCAAAGAGGCGAGCTCATTATACACAGTGATGCGGGATGAGATGAACATGTACTCCACAGTGTAAGATCTATATCAGACAACTAATAACACGGAAAACTAATAGCGATAATTGGCATTTAAGGTGATAAGTGTGTGACAGAATTGACCTTGGTTCTTTTTTATAGGTCACCATTAGTATGTGAGCTAAAATTGAGCATATCCAGCAAAATAACACCACCACCACAATGTTTATATATTGGAGAAATTCTAAACAAGTATATTTGAAAGTGCCTATAGATGCAACGTAAGAAACAAAGTTTTACTACAACCCAGCATTGACCATCGGATAAACAGGCTGCGTTAAAATGATAATTACCCACACTTAATGTGACGTATTGATACCAACTACCTCACCCTCTAGAACAGTAGGATTTTCTACAACCTAGGGTTTACCCAAAGCCTTCACTGAATCATTACTTAAAAGACGTAGGTGACTAATCATTGGAGAAAAACAATGTAAAGTGACCAGCAATGTGTTAAAAAATTTCAACTAACAAAGGTGACATTAAAAATTTTACGACTAGCTCAAAGACGTACTGAAGGTTAAAACCTGGAAGCAAATACGAGTTTTAAGGCAAATAAATTCTATTAGAGTGATTTTTCTTAACAAATGAAATATAGTAAATATAAATACTTCCAAGATAAGACTGTAAATAACCACATACAGGATATTGTCGAGTTACTAAAATCTCTCTTATGCGACTTTGTGTTCGTTATCTTTATGATGACTTTTTGCGAGGCGTTCCATCCTACTCAACTAAAGGTATCCATCGAAATGAGATTTCAACACTTTTCAAAATCCCTACGTGTTTGCTTAGTATCATTGAAAAATAAAAAACTGGTAAGATATGCACCCATGGCTGAGGTCAAATACGAACTCCGGTTTTTAGAAAACTGACCTTCCTTACTGTGGTAGGTAGATGTAAACTTCTAGAACTTTCATAATGCTGGAAAAGTTACATACTGCTGTTAAAAAGCAACCCCTCAAGAAAAAAAACACCAACTAATAGTGAGAGAGACAAATTATTATCAGATCCGTGAATAAAACCTGATGGACATGGGAGCATAATCCAATATACAGAATTTTCCGCTTACAGTACGAAAAACAAACGAATTGACCGCGTCCGATGTCCAATTTCATTTCATTTGCTTCTTGATTACCAGGTAAACATTCCTGGTTTTCGGTGAATTTCTGCATAGTTCGTCCCACCACAAGACTGTCTAAGTTTTAGCTGACTCCAAAAGGAATGGTGAATGGAATGATAATATACGGTTTGTAATACATGGTGCGTTAACATACAGTAACTTATGTAAATGGAATCGATCCTTCCGATTGTTAGTCGTTCGCTGCGGCCGAGATGAGAGGAAACTATGATAACAACAGATGAAGCTAATGTAGAATGCGTAGATATAGAAAGAAAACGTAAAAATAGGTAGTAAGTTATATTCGAAACTCACATACATGTATATATATATATACCAATAATAAAAATAATGTGGAGGCAGTATTAGTTGGAGTAGTGAGAAGAGTAAGATTGAAGAGAATGTAAAAAGTAAAGCGGTGAATTTAGTTGTCTACCCGTGAATGGTGTATGGGATTTTTAGGAGACAGGCCATTTGGACGCAGTCCTTGTGTCGCTGCATGATTGCCCAGTCTCCACTTGAAGGTGTCTACAGACGGTGCCACTGCTACATCTGCCGGTAAGGAGTTCCAGGGAAGGAAAATACACCGTGAAAAGAAGTGGGAGCGCATCCCAGTCTCGGCTCTGTGTTGAACTACAATCGTGGAGTGCCACGAGGAAGCCCATACCTACTCGATGGCAGAACACCTATGTTTTGATGATTCTGGCCATTTGTTATCTTGTAAGCAGCAATCAATCCCCCCAAGCCAATGGTAGCTAAGCGAGAATAGGCCTAATTTCATGTGGTTTGCTTCGGCGACCAACCACTCCTTTTGTTGCCCGTATTCGGACTCTTTGCGAGAGGTTTGCGTCTCTTCTAAGCAGTGGGGGTGCAATAATATTATGCACTTCAAGGTGTACTCTGATGTATGTTTTGTACAACCTTAGAAAGAGCTCAGGAGTGAGTGCACCTAACTGTCTATGTGTAAAGTGTATGACCGCATATGCTCTCGCTACGTCCCCTGTGTAATTTACGTTTGTGTCAATGTTTTCCGTTAGAACTAGACCTAAGTCGCGTTCCGACGTTGTGCAGGACTAGCTTTCATTGCACAGAGTGTAACTTGCATTCTGTAGTCTACAGCTGCGTAACTCCAGTACTTTGCACTTTTTCGGATTGAAAGTCATGCCATTGGCCACGGCCCAATCTTCCAAAATGTTTAGATCTTCCTACAGCCTGAGTCCTCCGGACACTTTATCGCCCTCCATATCTTTACGTGGTCAGCGTATAGAAGAGTCGGGCAGCTTAGACGGCAAGGCGGGTCACTGACAAAAATCAAAATATTGCTGTTTCTTAGATAGAGCCTTGCGACACTCGTTATGACGAGCCGTGACAGGACCACTGGATACAATTGGTCTTAGTGAAAGATTTCTTTTTGTTTAGGTAGTCCTCCAACCATGAGAGTGGCTTACCTATACCTGCCTGACTTGTTTTGGGTGGGAGAAGGTCGTGGTGAACTGTGTCAAATACCTTCCCAAAGTCTAGGATAATCACATGGACTTAAATATCCATATTTCAGCATGATGTCTAATCGTCCCAAGTTAATAGTAGGTTTGTTACACAGGGTATAGCTCCCTTGAAACCATGTTGTGACTCATGGAGTCTAATAGTCCTATCAAGGTGTCCCCTGGTGTGATCATCACTAATACTCTCTAGTACTTTGTATACCACTGGGAGTAGTGTTACTGATCTATGACTGGTGGCATTTCGCCTCTCCCTAGTCTTTTAATTAGGGGAAAGGTTGACTCTCTTCCACTCTCTTAGCAGTTTCCCAAATTCATCGAGTGTTGGAACAGGTCACATTAAGGCCTACAGAGACCTTCGGCACATTATTTCAGAACAAATAGCCTGATATCGTCACAACCTGTGAACTTCCCAAATATGAGTCTCTGTAGTTTACCTAGCACTATCACCGGGTTCATTTGGGGAGTAGACACTAGGTTTATCCTCGAAAAAATAGTAGTGTGGTGAGAGATGGCTGCTAACCAGATTGGTAGACAGTAATTTCCGTCAATGTTTATGTCCCAAATATTAGTCATGTGAAAACAAGCACAAAGACTGATAGCAGACTGTGCGTGGGCGGATACAATTAGCAGACAGATGATCTAACATTCAACAGACAGCCACAAAGAGATGAAAAATTAAAGAGAAGACATTAAGCG